ATATGTAGGACCAAGAAGTCCCTCTGATGTAACCCACAGATAAAAAGGGTAAACGGCAATAATGAACAGAGTTCCGGTACATATTTCGCTATGAAAAACGATTAATACTGAGCATGGCCAAACAGCAGTCAGGTACTAAAGTCAGATACAGGGGCGGACTGACCATTTGGAAACTCGGGCACTGCCCGAGGACTCGGGGTCAGTAGGGGGCCCCATGAGATGCCCCTGGTACCTTTTTTATAGGCTTTTTTGAGTTTGGGCAAGGACACAGGGGCCCCATGATCCCCTATTGCCCGGGGGCCCCATGAGTTGTCAGTCCACCCCTGGTCAGATACATCAAAAGGTAATAATGGAAACAAAAAGTATGAAGAAAGAATAAGGGAGGAAATGAGAAAAAAGAGAATAAGAAAAAGAAAAGAGTGAAGTGAAAGAGGGTCAGCCATGGTCCTGCTAAGGGACGGAAAAGTACTGAATCCACGGATCCTACGTTCTGTCGAATTTCGTACCATAGTTTGTAGATTTTCTACAAACCAATTAATATACACTTATTGGGATTTTTTTTACCGAAGACATGTAGCAGAATACATTTTGGCCTAAATTTATGAAGAAATTTAATTTTATTGGATATGTTTTATAACAGCAAACACAAAATAATTTTTTTTCTATTTTTTTATATAATAAAAAAAAACAATGGTGATCAAATACCACTAAAAGAAAGCTCTATTTGTATGAAAAAAATGCTACAAATGTAATTTGGGTACAGTGTTGCATGACCTCGCAATTGCCAGTTAAAATAGCACAGTGCCGAATAGCAAACATGCCCTGGTCATGAAGGGGGTAAAACCTTCCGGAGGACAAGTGGTTACTTCACTTATTTTAATCTTTTGTTTGAGCATGTTGGCCATGTGTCTTTTGTTCAACCTAATAAATGAAATTATATATGGGGGCACACAAATATTGTATAAGTTAGACCCAGTTACAGTGTTACTAAACCCATGACCCTGCATTTACTATATCTGGTCTCCCCGGACCCTGCATTCACTATATCTGGTCTCCCCGGACCCTGCATTCACTATATCCGCTCTCCCCGGATCCCGCATTCACTATATCTGGTCTCCCCGGACCCTGCATTCACTATATCTGGTCTCCCCAGACCCTGCATTCACTATATCTGGTCTCCCCGGACCCTGCATTCACTATATCCGCTCTCCCCGGATCCCGCATTCACTATATCTGGTCTCCCCGGACCCTGCATTCACTATATCCGCTCTCCCCGGATCCCGCATTCACTATATCTGGTCTCCCCGGACCCTGCATTCACTATATCCGGTCTCCCAGGACCCTGCATTCACTATATCCGCTCTCCCCAGATCCCGCAATTACTATATCTGGTCTCCCCAGACCCTGCATTCACTATATCTGGTCTCCCCCGGACCCTGCATTCACTATATCTGGTCTCCCCGGACCCTGCATTCACTATATCCGCACTTTCCGGACCCCGCATTCACTATATTTGGTCTCCCAGGACCCTGCATTCACTATATCCGCTCTCCCCAGATCCCGCAATTACTATATCTGGTCTCCCCAGACCCTGCATTCACTATATCTGGTCTCCCCCGGACCCTGCATTCACTATATCTGGTCTCCCCGGACCCTGCATTCACTATATCCGCACTTTCCGGACCCCGCATTCACTATATTTGGTCTCCCAGGACCCTGCATTCTCTATATCTGGTCTCCTAGGACCCTGCATTCACTATATCTGGTCTCCCCGGACCCTGCATTCACTATATCTGCTCTCCCAGGACCCTACATTCACTATATCTGGTCTCCCACAGTACAAAGAACATGGAAATGCAATTATTTTAGTAAACATAAACTGCCAAATACCTTTTCTCATCAGCAGTATATAGCAGTCTTGTGATTTCTATCAGTGTCTGATTGAGCACTGGTTAAAGCTTGTAGGAGGAGTTTTCATTCTCCTCTGACTGTCCTATGAGGCTGCAGAACCCCTGACCTCTAGACAGCGCAGACTGGCCCTGAGCTGATCACATGCACCCTCCCAAAGAAAAAAAAACTGTCTAGCCATACACACTAAACTGAGCATGTGCAGAGTGCCTCCTAGGGCTCTGTACTATCAATAGATAGATTGGGACAGTAGAAGAAGGGGAGGATCAGAGAAGACAGGATCAAACATCCTTTTTACACAACCCCTTAGGTTCCACAGTGAGTATAACAAGCATGCTTTACTGCATATACAGACTGATTTTACTGTTGTGGGTTTAGTAACACTTTAAACCTGTGAAAGGTCACTGCCTACACCATCCAGGCCAAATTGTGGCTTTCTTTGTGTAACATTAATGGTAAAGAAATGACTGCTATTAGCTGGTTGCTATGGGCACCACTTTTTTTTCATAGCTTTTATGAGGAACATCAACTCATTAAAAATAAAATAAAAGTCAGTGTGCCGTTTTTTTTTTTCTTTGCATTCCAGGAGGGAAAGCTGATCCCAAGAATGAGTGACTCGAATCTCTGCTAGTTTGCCTGCAGAGCTGAAGCTTGATCCATACTGCCCACCTTGAAATCTCGCAGTCTGAAGAATCCCAGAAGAACACAAACAAATATCACTTTTCTAATGTGTTTTTATCCTTAAACTGCTCTTACCTCCTACAAGCAACATAAGCCCACGCTAACGTCTTTTACAGAACATGTGGGCTTTAGGTCTATGCAGTGGCGCCATTACCTACAGACTAAATGACAACATGCTTCCCCTCCGATGGAACATGCCTGGGCTTTCCTTTATTTTATTAGAAAAATAAACACAAGTGGTTCAGCAATGTTTTCAGAATTTGCCTGCTGGTAGCTGATCTAAGGGCCCTGCGCTGTAGATCTCAAACAAGCTCCAAATAAAAATTCAGAGTCACCTTGGCACATGTTAGTCACATATCCTGACCAAATCAACTTGAATGTGATGACTGCTATGAGAGTAAAGCAGAATGATAGAAATATATTATGTAAAAGAATGTACCCCGTATATTTTAGTTAAAAAAAAAATATATAATATAAATTAGAGAACATATATAAATTATTATTGGTCTTGCGTCAATCCAGGGATGTCACACCCATCATTAAAGGGTCTCTGAGAATGAGAAAGAATGGCTTTGAAATAACACGACTCAACTCTTTGAGGATCCATGGGTGTAAGCCATTTGGTCCAGGTCAGGGGTGTCCAAACTTTTTTCAAAGAGGGCCAGATTGGATGAAGTGAACATGCTGGAGGGCTGAACATTTTTCCGAACATTCTTTGAACCATTACAATTAAATGCAAATAAATTATTTTATGCCAAGTTAATTGCAAACGACATACTTTTCATTTCATAACATTAAGATCAACTGACAGCTGAGTTTTCACAATGTATTGAAAATAAATTAAAAAAAAAAAACTTACCTGCACTAATATGAAGGGTGAAAAAGGTAGCTGGAGCTGAAGTCTCTGCTCGGCAGCCGGGAGGGGAAGAGAAACACACTTCACGCTGGAAGCCCGGCCCTGACGTCACCGCCCTCTGTCGCTCCCAGCGCGGCGCAGTCCCGCATGCACACTGCTCTCAAGCAGAAGACTGTCTGCCACAGAAGGGAGGGCCGTGCGACAGCCGCATTTACACAGACCAGGGAGAACGCGCCGCAGTCAGGCATGCGCACTGCCCTCTGCTCTCAAGCAGAAGATTGTCTGCCATAGAAGGGAGGGACACATTACACAGAGCAGGGAGGGCTGTTGGAGGGCCGTATTAAACCGACCCCCGGGCCGTAAATGGCCTGCGGGCCGGACTTTGGACATGCCTGGTCCAGGTGCTTTATTTAGTTTTATTTTGTCTAAAGGTTTGTAAACCATGTCAATTTTGAGCCATTGTAGTTTTTTCAGGGCTTTGTCAATACTAACCCCAATAAAGACTTTGAGCACCTCTATATATACAGTATAACATTATTTTATTATTATACAGGATTTATATAGCGCCAACAGTTTGCGCAATGCTTTACAAAATGAAGGTAGACATTACAGTTACAATACAATTTGGTACAAGAAGAAACAGAGGGCCCGGCTCGTTAGAGCGTACAATCTAGGAATATATATATATATATATATATATATATATATATATACACACACACACTCACCAGCCACTTTATTAGGTACACCTTGCTAGTACTGGGTTGGACCCCCTTTTGCCTTCAGAACTGCCTTCATTCTTCATGGCATAGATTCAACAAGGTGTTGGAAACATTCCTCAGAGATTTTGGTCCATATTGACATGATAGCATCACACAGTTGCTGTATGATGCGAATCTCCCATTCTACCACATTCCAAAGGTGCTTTATTAGATTGGGATCTGGTGACTGTGGAGGCCATTGGAGTACAGTGACCTCATTGTCATGGTCAAGAAACCAGTTTGAGATGATTTGAGCTTTGTGACATGGTGCATTATCCTGCTGGAAGTAGCCATCAGAAGATGGGGACACTGTAGTCATGAAGGGATGGATATGGTCAGCAACAATACTCAGGTAGGCCATGAGTATTGTTGCTGACCATATCGGTACTAAGGGGCCCAAAGTGTGCCAAGAAAATATCCCCCACACCATGACACCACCACCAGCCTGAACCGTTGTTACAAGGCAGGATGGATCCATGCTTTCATGACCCTACAATCTGAATGTCGCAGCTGAAATCAAGACTCATAAGACCAGGCAACGTTTTTCCAGTCTTTTATTGTCAAATTTTGGTGAGTCTGTGCAAATTGTATCCTCAGTGTCCTGTTCTTAGCTAACAGGAGTGGAACCCGCTGTGGTCTTCTGTTGCTGTAGCCCATCTGCTTCAAGGTTTGATGTGTTGTGCATTCAGAGATGGTATTCTGCATACCTTGGTTGTAACAAGTGGTTATTTGAGATATGGTTGCCTTTCTATCATCTTGAACCAGTCTGCCCATTCTCCTCTGATCTCTGACATCCAGGGGCGGACTGACAACTCATGGGGCCTCCGGGCAATAGGGGATCATGGGGCCCCTGTGTCCTTGCCATAACTCAAAAAAGCCTATGAAAAAGGTACCAGGGGCATCTCATGGGGCCCCCTACTGACCCTGGGCCCTTGGACAGTGCCCGAGTTTCCAAATGGTCAGTCCGCCCCTGCTGACATCAACAAAGCATTTTCGTCCACACAACTTCCACTCGCTGGATATTTTCTCTTTTCGGACCATTCTCTGTAAACCCTAGAGATGGTCATGCTTGGAAATCCCAGTAGATCAGCAGTCTTTGAAATACTCAGACCAGCCCGTCTGGCACCAACAACCATGCCACGTTCAAAGTCACTTAAATGCCCTTTCTTCCTCATTCTGATGCTCGATTTGTACTTCAGCAAGTTGTCTTCACCACGTCTAGATGGCTAAATGCATTGAGCTGCTGCCATGTCATTGACTGATTGATTAGCAATTTGCATTACCAAGCAATTGAACAGATGTACCTAATAAAGTGGCCCGTGGGTGTATATGCTGTATTATTAGAGTTACCCTTTAAGCTTGATCTGCAGGTGAACCTCGCATTCCCAAGTGATTGTGCTCACTTGTTTGCGGCATGGTGAGCTTTTTGTAAGTCTGCCTGAGAACAATGAAGTGTAGGACACACACACCGCCGTCAATGAGCCTCACTTCGTGCAATGCAGATAAATGTGGACCAGTCCCTGTAGGCGTCCTAACATACGGATCTGCATTGATAATCTGTTTACATCTTTATTTCTTTTCTGCTGTATCGCTGTCATGACTTTGAAGATTACAAGGAAAGGCGCACAGCAGATCTGGCAAGTCCAGCATACGAGCGATGAGTGATTCTGAACAGGATGGAGCGCTAACAATCCTTGAATCTGTATTTGTTAACAAAGTCTCAGGAGGGATGGGAAATTTGCTAACTGGATGTGTCATTCACAGCTGTTTGGTGTTTAATATTGAAGAGATTTCGGGGAAGGGCCGGCAAACCTGGCAAATGCTCCATCGCAAGACAAGTTCTCTCTGGGACTATCACAGCTGATGAACGGTCAGAACAGAAAAATCTATACGGATAACCGCATGCTAACCACACGTGAGCCTGCAAATCCCACAAGATCCCTTTATATTGTTTTTTATGAACGTCTATGTACCAAACGGAGCTAAAGAAATCATTTCTATTGACGGTGAACCAGTCTCCTTCTTTCAGCAGCACATTAAAGAGACATCAAACTCCGGTTTAAAAATTGAAATTCTATGCAAGTATGTATTCTTAAAGCCATTGTAAAGGTTCCGATTTTGTTTTAACTACTTCAGTACCAGGCTCTTTCAACTCCTTCCTGCCCTGGCCTATATTCAGCTTTCAGCACTGTTGCGTTTTGAATGACAATTGCACGGTCATGCAACACTGCCCATATTACATTTTTATCATTTTTTTCACACAAATAGACCATTCTTTTGGTGGTATTTAATCACCACTGAGTTTTTACATTTTTTGCTAAATAAAAGAAAAAAGACAGAATATTTTGAAAAAATACTAGTTTTCCTTGTTTCTATTAATACATTTTTCAGATAATCGTTCTTTATAAATTTAGGCCAGAATGTATTCTGCTACATTTCTTTGGTGAAAATAACCCAAATCAGTGATTATTATTTGGTTTGTAGGAAAGTTATAGTGTCCACAATCTATGGGATATATATCTAAAAAAATGGATCAATCCTGATGTACTGATGGCTGATCTCATTTCTTGGGGCCCCCAAAATGTCAGGACCCCTTTTTGAAAAGTAGAGAGTCCAAGGTATTTAGTAACAGGCATGGCAATTTTTTTTTTAAGTTTTATTTGTTGCCACAATTTTTTGCAAAATGAAGAATTTAATAAAAAAAAGTTTTCACATTTTTTTTTTTTACGCACTGTCACCAGTGCAGTGCGGTGCCATCATAAAACTGGTGTAGCAGTGATCAGGACACTGACTGGTGACAGTATGTTAAAAAAAATTATATATATATATATATATATATATATATATATATATATATATATATATAAATTACTTTTTTTTTCTTTTTTTATTACATTTTTCTTTTTTTTCAATTTTGGTTTTTGCATACTGTGACCAACACAGTGTTACCATAGTAACACTACTACTACTCTGGGAGGAGCTGATCAGGGTTTTTTCTTTTAACTATGATTGCATATAACATTGATTTTCACTGTTAGAAACAATGTTTTTACTGAATGAAATTGATTCATTCAGTGTTTACTATTGTGATTAGTTGTTGATCGGCTACAGCTAATCACATGGTACAGATGGGATGTGATTGGCCCTGTCTGTACCATGTGATCATTGTGAGCAATCACAGAGATTAACACAATAGTACCCATGAATGGCGTAAATGGAAGCCATCCATTGTGTAAAATTGACATGCGATCTGCAGTGATTGGTTACAGTGATCACATGGCACCAGCAATGGTCTGGTACACTGATCTGTCATCCACTGTGTCCGGTGAAGTGGGCACACACAAGGTGTGTTCTGGGGAAGACGTCATATGACGTCCGCCCAGAACGAGAGAGCTCCTGCCCGGCAGTCATTTGAGCTTCTGTTCTCATGCACATCACTGAATCGGGATCAGGCTCAGGTGAGCATGGGCGGGGCTGAGGTGGTAGCTGCAAACTGAAGGTGTTTTTACCTTCAAGGAAAGAATGCATGAAGGTAACAAAGAACCACTTTAACTCAGAAAAGTCCCTTCTATTGCTCTTAGCCTCTTACAAATCTTAAAATTTTGTTTATGTTTTTTTTCTGCTGCTGACTTCCTGTTAGATGGTGGCTGCGTCTGTTCTCGGTGATCTCACTGTATGTAGGAACATAGCCACCCTTTCTTGCTTGCTCCCATGATGGAATATGGTTTATGGCAGGGGTGTCAAACTCAATTTTATAGTGCGCCGCATCAGCATTATGGTTGCGCTCAAAGGGCTGGTTGTATCTGTAAGACTATATACTATATACTGTAAATTATTCTACTCTTTATCATATTAAATACCTTGGTGTCAGTGGGAGGAATAGTGCCACATCATTGGTGTCAGTGGGAGGAATAGTGCCCCATCATTGGTGTCAGTGGGAGTAATAGTACTCCATTATTGGTGTCAGTGGGAGGAATAGTGCCCCCTCGTTGGTGTCGTAGGAAGTACAGTGCCCCATCATTGGTGTCAGTGTGCGAAATAGTGCCCCATTGTTGGTGTCAGTGAGAGGAATAGTACTTCATTAATGGTGTCAGTGGGAGGAATAGTGCCCCAACATTGGTGTCAGTAGGCGAAATAGGGCCTCATCATTGGTGTCAGTGGGAGGAATAGTGCCCCACTATTGGTGTCAGTGGGAAGGATAGTGCCCCACTATTGGTGTCAGTGGGAAGTATAGTGCCCCATACACTAGGCTGGTGGGCCCTTCTTCCCTTATTATAATACAGAATACATACACAGAGTGAGGATGTGTTCTGTAGTCTATTGGCATGAGCTGGGTATCCCCTATGCCCTCGGCTCCTTAATGCCCTCAGCTCCTCTATACCCTCGGCTCCCCTATGCCCTCGGCTCCCCTATGCCCTCGGCTACTCTATGCCCTCGGCTCCCCTATGCCCTCAGCTACTCTATGCCCTCGGCTCCCCTATGCCCTCGGCTCCCCTATGCCATTGGCTTCCCTGTGCCCTCGGCTCCCCTGTGCCCTCGGTTCCCCTATGCCCTCGGCTCCCCTATGCCCTCGGCTCCTCTATGCCCTCGGCTCCCCTATGCCCTCGGCTCCTCTATGCCCTCGGCTCCGCTATGCCCTCGGCTCCGCTATGCCCTCGGCTCACCTATGCCCTCGGCTCACCTATGCCCTCAGCTACTCTATGCCCTCGGCTCCTCTATGCCCTCGGCTCCTCTATGCCCTCGGCTCCTCTATGCCCTCGGCTCCCCTATGCCCTCAGCTACTCTATGCCCTTGGCTCCCTTATACACTCTGCTCCCCTATGCCCTCAGCTCCTTTATTAGAGAACAACCCCGCTGGCACATGCTAGGATCACCAGGTATCCAGTCCCAGCCTGCTGATCAAGTCTATAGAACCAATTCATACTCCGCTAATGATGTCTTCACTGAGCAGCGGCTATTGTTTCTGATGAATGAAGCTTTTTTGGATGACACATTGGGGTACAACAAAGAATCTTTTTTAATCATCAAAGAGAAGGAACGGCGTGACCTTTGCATTCCTCTCCTGTGCAGACAATAGAAAAGATAATTAAAATCAGTAAATTAGAAAAAAAATTTCTTGAGAGCTGGCCAGACGGAAGAATTTTTCCTAGAAAGGTCACTTGTCAGCGAGTTCTACTTTTTAAACCTATACATTTATCACAAACGTGTTTCCATGGAAGCCGAAGGTCAAACCGCTAAACGGTGAATGATCAGAGCTAGAAAAGGTCACAAAAGGCCCCGCTGAGGTGAGCCAGTGGTGGACAATTATGGGGATTTGTAGCCAGCCCAAATCAGGCTGACCTCCCTCGCCATCAAAATGAATTGCCCTTCTCACCTTTGGGTCATAGCGCTCTGTGATCCTTATAGAATCTGCAGCTTTACAAGCATGACTTTCCAAATATACTTCTGGCACTTTAATGCTGGATCTTCGGGTCTCAGATGTATCAATCTCAAGTACTTATATAATGACATCAATTTATGCAGCGCTTTACATATATATTGTAAATTCACATCAGTCCCTGCCTTTAAAGGGTGTACAATCTAAGGTCCCTAACTCACATTCATACATACACATATTAGGGCCAATTTATACAGGTACCAATTAACCTGCCAGCATGTCTTTGGAGTGTGGGAGGAAACTGGAGTACCCAGAGGAAATCCACGCACAGGGAGAACATGCAAATTCCACGCAGGTGGTGCCATGGTTGGGATTTGAACCAATGATCCTAGTACTGCCAAGTGGAAGTCCTAATCATTTAGCCACTGTGCTGCCCACCTTGTTCTGCTGTGAAGAAAAAGTGAATCTGAATAGGAGTGACTTTTTCATTATTAATCAGCGGATGCGCTTGCAGTGTTCGAATGAGGAAGTGATTAACCCTTTAGGAAAATCTAATTAAAAAATTAAATTTTTGTTGCAAGAGATGCCTAAAATCTGGCTTGT